GGGTCCACATCGACCAACTGGAGAAAGGTAAGACCTCAAAAGAGACAGCTTCCATACATGCACACGATGTGTTTGGGCGTGTAGCAAAAAGCTCTTTCTTTACAGGACAATCCCGCGTTTGCAGTACAGAACACCTCGCACTACCAGGCATGAACTGGTAGCTTTTTGGCCAGCTTTTTCAACATGTACATGTACATTATAAGGGCAGGTGTTGCTTTCAGTTTTTTCCCTTCATTTGCAGTTCCTTGAAACTGCCACAGGTGCTTATTTGCACCGTAGTGGAGCCTCTTTAATTGATTGATGTGTGGTCCACACTTACTTCAAAAATCGACACCTCAATGAAAGCTGTAAGAATTCGGCTTATGTTTAAAGGAAGCAGGAAATAGTAGTATTTTTATAAATTTTACTAAAAACCCTTGAAATTGCATATTTGGGTTTCAGTTAACCTGATTTTAAATTTTTGTTTTGCAATTTTAATCCATATTTTGATGTTTTTTAGTTTTTATGCTGATGCATATTTGCATATTCATGTGCAGAACTATGATGTCATCCAAGGCACTGAATTTCAATGTTGCACTGATTTGTGCACAGAAATTTCTAAATTTTTTTAACCACTGCTATGGCAGATTTCATTTTCTTTGGCAATTTATTGCTGTGTAAGTATAGGGCAATAATCCAGCAAAAATCCTTTTCACACAAAAACATGCAACATGAACCATGTCTTCCTGGATTTACATCAAAGCAAAAGCCCCCTCACTTGTCCAGAAATGCTTGGTCAAATTTTAATATTTCAAAAAGTGCACCGTTCAGGTCACATAATTCAAAAAAGATGCCAGACAGTCTTCATACATGGAAGAAGAGCACAGAGATACACAAAAAGTGATTCTAAGAAAAATTCATTTCCTGGATCCTTTAAAAATAAATGCATAAAGCCTTGTAAAATTTGGCGCAAATTTATTTGTGATATGGGTAATTCCTGTAATTAGGGGTCCAATTTTTTGTGTGTGTCCCTGTCACTGCTGACATATGATTTTGTAAGTTCAGAACACATTTTCTAATCTCCAAAGAGTGATGAATTAGTGCAAATTACCTGCCAAACAAACGGTAGTAGTTTGAAATCAATTCCGGTGATATTTCTGTGTCAGATGTAACAGGGACACAAAAATGTCACACTTTTGGACCCCTGATTTCTGGAATTACCCACATGTTAAATTTCTGGCACTCCAGAAATACACCTGGAAAAAGTACATGTATACTGGGAAAAGGTGTGCAGACCAAGTGTAGCCTGACGAGATGTCATTACTGAGGTTTCCCTACACTCAGAGGGCACATCCTTAAACCTTGGGCGTGCATGTATTTAGGTCAATTAATGCTTACCTATGACCAACCTACAAGTGCGGTGCTACCTCTGTAAAGGCTTCTGTATCTGGTTGCTATGGGCCTCCGAGCTGGACCAATAGAGAGCATAATTTTCCGAGCAACGGAGGGGCTCCTTTGGTTGCAACTGCGCATCACTGGTTCACGAATGACTAGGAAATGCAAGCGTTGCAGTCGCATTGCTACCAACAACATGAAGACTTCTGACGAACCGATGAGGGGGTGCTTCTGCTCAGGGAAGATAGACTCGTCAATAGAGCCTGATTCACATTTGAAAATGCCATTCTCCCATATGTGCTGTAAGGACGCTTACAATCCTTTGACAAATTGTCAGTGTGCGGTAAACATTTTGTCACAGCAACAACCCTGGTGAAGAACGGCGCTCAGAAGGCCCTCTTCCACTTCCAACACAAGAGGGCGCACCAGCAGCTGGCCGAGCGAGGCCAGCACCTGATGGAGTGCGTGCGCCGAGTGGGCCGGGCGATCCTGGGCAGGGACCACCCGGATCTATTGGACCCGTTGAGAGTCGGTTTGACCGGCAGGCAGAAACAGAGAGCCGAAGGTGGGTTGACGTATACTTTACATGTATGTACGGGTAAAAAGGGGATGGATGTAGAATCGCTGATATATATACATCGATAAAGCACTGGTCAGTGATCCCACAGCTGATTTGCTCTATCCATTAGGCAGTTTCTGGTGTCAGTGAACCATCGTCAGATCACGGATCTGGATCTGGTTTCACATGAAACAAACAGGCCCAGTTTATGGAGGCTGTTTGTATTGGGCCTGTTTGTTTCATGCGGACCTGAATCGCAATCAGTGATCCAACATCAGTTCACTGACACCAGAACCCACTGAACAGATACAGCGAACCAGCTTTGGGATCACTGATCAGGATCCAGATCTTTGGGAAACAAAGAGGCCAACTGACTGGATAGTGCTTGGGAGACAGAGGATTGGATGTCACTGTCGGTGCCATCATTGGAGGTCCACATGTGTTCATGTGCTGAAGGAAGTTTCACTGGAAGACTTAAAATCTCAAAACGTCCGGACTCGCACTCGCTCGTGTATGTGCACTCAGTTATTTCTGTTCATGCCAGAAATATTCAAATAAACAATTTTTACATCTTTAGCCCCCAAATTATGTAGTTACAGCTTGGTACAGGTCGAAAATTGGGAATATTAATAATAGAAGTGAAAAGCATCACTAAATGTTGTGGGAGCCATCTTTGATAGGCCAAAAGAAAATGGAGCCAGGGAGTTGTCATTTCTTTGTGCACAGTGATATGGGCATGTGCTGTGCAGTCAGTATCAAGAGATATGCGGTAGGGCTGTGCATTGGAATGGGGTACTTGAGTATCAGACTAACAATGGCAGGAACTGGTACCTGTAGCTACTTATGTAGTGAGTCCCTGACTCTTGATGGAATCTTAGGGCAGGTATCGCCCAGGAGTCAATCTAGTTTGCATTGTTCTGAGCGTGTATGTGAAGTTGTGAGCATGCGCAATACTGTGGAAAGAGACCTGTTGCCAGCTGCCACAAGCGTCTCAAAATTTCCCATTGGCAGAGGGTTTTGCAGGATTAAGGTGGTGATGACCCATCCAAGGCATAAATTCAAGAAATGATGTAGATTTGGGAGGATTTCATCTGTATCCACTTTGTACCCGTCGGTAGTGGAGGATTTTGCAGGACTAATGCTTGGTCCTGGCAAAAAGGCTTTGGAAATGGTCCTCAAGCTGGACCAAGAGAGGGCGCTATTTTCTTAACAACGGAGGCTCTTTTGGTCAGAACTGAACTTTGCTGGTTCCTTACGATTAGGAAATGCACTCCTGACCGATGCAGCTCTTTTCAACCCATGAGGGGGTGCTTCTGCTGGAGGCGGATAGGGTTAATGGATTTTAGTCAAATCAACATACAAACTATTTGTCACCTGCATTTGATATTTGTTCCGGATTTGCCAGACTATGGAGATTATGGTGCCGTTGCTCCAGGGCTCCGCCTACCCACTGTGGACTACCTAAGCAAACCACTGCCGGCATCGGCAGGAGCGTCAGTCTCTGATCCAGCAATCGACATCGTGGATGGCTTGACAGGACTTCATTTGTCCAAAAGTTCCTCGAGTGCTCAGAAGAAAGGTGATGAAGTACGATTGTACCCATAAACAGGGCTACATGCCAGCTGAGGTGATAGCGGTACTAAATGAGAAAAGAGGAGAAAATGCGGGAAAACTTTGTCTCTGAACCCTAAAAACACTCCAGTAAATCTCCTGTTCGTTATGTACATGGAGATCAATTTGCATCACTTTGGGCACTTTTGTAATTTCCAATTCCAAACTTATCTAATCAGACATACAGTATGTGCATTTATTGAGTAGAACTTGGTTGATGCGCCTCATTCTAAGCTCACAACGTATAGTATCTCTGAAGTAATTTTAAAAAAGGCAATTGAATTTCAAAGTTTCAAGTTGCTTCACCCCAAAATCATAGAAATTCAACAAAAGCCAATGGTGAATATCCTATCTGAAGAACAGGCCCACATTAAGTTTAAATGGTCAACTTGTCTCTTCCAGGGGTGATGCCTGCAAGACTCTCCTACCCCATGGCCGGACTAGTGAGGGCTCTCTTTGCCCATGACCCAGACAGGAAGAGGGTGGACCAGCTGTGCGTGGAGGCCGAGAACAAGAGCTCCTTTCTGGCTGGTCTCGCCACCAGGGCCGCGGATTGCACGCAAGACCCACGGCCAAAAGGGTAAGCCTGAGAGAAAGTGTGCTGTGGAGATACGGCGGTTGCATATTGAGTTACCACGATTTATCACATATTGACTTACATTTCATCTTCAAATGATGAACTGGTTTAACTCTTGTATTTACTGGTGTAAGATGTCTTTGACCTTGCTTACCCAACATGCCAAATAAAACACTCCTTACCTCGCTAACGAACCATCTCAAACTTGTCCGCGCAAGTTGTGCATGGCAACAATGACTTCATCCACAGGAAGCCCTGCATTTGTCCTAGGCAAGTGAGTGGCTGTTTGCATTTGGCCTCAGTGCACACAGCAGGTGGCCCCATATAAATTGTACTGCATCAGTGTTTACTGCCAGTACGGTAGACACACAGTGTGTCCTCGAGCGCTCAGCCTTGCTCAAAACCCCAGAAGGGGGACATTATGTATAAGCCAACTAATTGCTTCACACATGTAGCTGGAATATTGTGAACAAGATGGTTATTAATTCCGCAACTTAAGCCCCGCACAATGTCTGCAACCTGTCCGGAACTTGTCCCGGACGAATCTTGAGATGACTGCTAACCGAATAAAAATGTGGCCCGTTCAATCGTAAAAATAATTTGGAACAAGTTTTCTTTGTTGAATTTTTTGGGTGTCATCTGTTTTAAAATTCACCAATGTCTTGACAAGGCTGCTTCCATTCAATCCTAATAATCTGTGGTCCTTTTTTGTTCAAGCCTGAACATTTTAAACACCGAGCTGTCGTCCATTTTGTCAACTGCACAGAATGAACTTTCTGTATCTGGAGGAGGCTATTTGTGCAGTCTATTTCATGTACTCATCTCTTGTTTCCCCCTTGATCTGCAGACGATTGGAGTCCCAGGCACTTCAGCTCATCTCCCACACCTCGCAGCTGGTCAGGCAGGCCAGAGCCTCCACGACGGGCACGGACTCGGCAAGGGCAGAGGTTCATCTCCTGGCCGAAACCTGGACATCGCTGGTCACTGACCTATGCACTGGCCTCGTGGAAGTTATTGGCTGTTGGGGCTTGCCTGGCAACGAGCTGATGGAAGAGTCATTACGAGGCGAAACGGATAATGTCCCCAGAGCGGTCAGCCATTCTTAAATAATGCCTCTGAGAAAGATTATGCAGTGATTGAAACATTAGATCCTTGAACTTTTTCTGTTAAGATATTTGCTGTACAGATATACCTTTTCATTTCCTTTGTTTGTGCTTCCTGAAAAGTAGAAGACCAGTCAAGAATTGTCCCCTTCTTACAATCTGTGAATTCTTGTCACTCAGAAAATGTCCTAGAAGTGAGTCGTCAAATGGGACTTATTAAGAGAACACGTCTTCCCTCTCACTCATTTGGTCATGACCTGTGCCAGCTGAAAACTCTGATCAGCTCTGCTGATGTTCTTCATACTGTATTTGATGTTATTACCATTAAGTGTACTTCGTGTAAAGGATATATACTAACTTTCTGCCATGATGAGCTCTAGGAAACATAAAAGTGTTGTCGTTTTGAAGAGATTAGGGTTAGAATAATAGAGTACATTTTTAACTTGGGATCCAACTGGTGTGCTGTATGCATATTTGGGTAATATCTCATTTTGAAGGTGTTCAAAGTTCTGCTCCTCAACCTGTTTTGCTCCCTACATTTTTGATTAAATAACAGGAACGACTAGTACTACTTTTTCTCCCTTGGTGCAGATCGATAATTTGAATTTGCACCTCCAAAGTGTCCACTGCTTGGTCCAGACTATCGTTGAAGCATCTCAAGCTCTTGTTGCTCTCAACGATTCCAAAATGGCCGACTCTTCAAGTCAGGTCCAGCTTCTGCAGAAGCAAGCGTCCCATTGGTCGAGGCTGACCCACAGCCTGATCAGTGCAGCCAATGAGGCAGTCATCAACCCAGGTACTACAAACTTGCAAGGTCCTGTGCTCAACAGATATGTCTTGGACATATCGAACACTATATGCTCCTGTTAAACTTAAGCATGGCTTGAACAGCTTTGTGGAAGTTCCGTTTCTGGCAAAAGAAGTATTCCAGAGAGGCATTTGTAATGCATTAGTTGCTCTTATCTTCCTCAAACTTGAATTCTCCATTCCGATCAGGGTCGATCCATGGCAACAAACTGTGACATATAACACTATTGCACGATTCATGTCAAATCCTGTGCTATTGTAACTCCATGCAATACTCTGGCAAAGGTGGTGTATTTGTGTGCATAGGCCCCTATAACATCTTATATAGCAAATCAAGTTACTTTATAGATAAATTCATTGTCACGCTCGCGCTCATGGAACACAGACTATGAAATGTAGTGCGTCACATCGGCCTTTCTTCTCGTGGCATATGGGACACAGACGTGCTATGTTATTCTGTGTTCCACTCGCACTCGTGTGATAACTCATAATGGCTACAGTGTAACGCAATCCATATCTTCCAAGACAGAGTGTCATAATAAAGCTAGAATTGGCAAGCGGCTCCAACCTGCATGCAATCTGGAATGGCGCAGATGCTTTCCATGTGCTTTGACCACAGCAGAATGAAACAGCTTTTAAGAAGACCAATACTGACTCTCTCTCTGTCTCTGGAGAAAGTAGATAGCACTTTGTGTTTGAAAGGGACACACCGTGTGCACACAGTGTCATGTTCTACTGTGCCATCAAGGAGAGGGCATTATGTTTCTTAATGTCGTTCCCGTATGACACCCTCTCATAGTCTAAGTAGAGGCACTTACCAACGTGAACCATAGACTGACACTGAGGATAGGAAAACCTGCTCCGTTTTGTGTTGTGCACTCTGGGTACCAGTTTATGCGCATGCGGCACAGAGGACACCAGCATGCAGTCAGTTTCCACTCGACTGTGTATAGACCAGACGTATCCGTGCACAGTTGCTTGGAGAAAGGTGGCATTTGTCTTCTGGACCCAAGTGCACAGAGCTTTGCATGCACTGCTTCAAAATTAGGAGGATGCCAGTCAAAAACACTGCACATACATGTACCGTGACACCTCTGGCTGGTAACGTGTTCTTGCTGAGCAAATATTGTCTGCGCTTAGCAAATGCCCTTCCTGGGCAACATCTCGTAGCTCTTCCCAGAGTTTCCCCTGCCTATTCAAGTGTGAGGTGGCCCACCTCACTGATTTCAGTGACCAGGCTTTGACTCAGGCTTTTCTGATGAATTTTACCACCTCACACTTAAAATAGACAGATGGAGGGAAAAGGCAAAATAATTTAGATATTTGGAAATAAATCAGTTTTAAATTGTTCTGAATGGTATTACGGGACACAGAATACAAGATCAATTCATCCTAAGAGGAAATTTAGAGTAACCATTCTCTCATACTACATGTATATAGAATTTATTTTAGGCCTTTTTGAAAATTCTCACTTTGGGTTTAGATGCCAGAATTGTGGCAAAATTTGTTGGACCACCTCAAACATATCAGTACCCCAGGGGAACCCCTGGCTCTTCCTACTGTTAACGCCATAAGACTGAAATGTAAAATTCTGCACTTACGGTTGGCCTATTTTATGGATTAGCAAAACACTTCGAGTTTTGTGCACTTGTGACTCCTGTAGAACTAAGAATTCTGTGCGTACACAGTTAGTGTGGAATTTTTGAGGTAGTGCGGTAGGTATAGAATGTTGATCATTAGGGTGGAATGAGAGCCCCCAAAGTGGGCCGTACCGGTATGTCAGCCATACTTCTGTCATGGTCCACCGATTTTCAAGACTTTTTTTTTTTTTTTTTTTTGCGTTGGGGAGATGTTAATTTATATAAGGTTTTTCCCTTACCCAACGTATATATTAATAAACACTGTATGCTCAGTGCTTGTCCGAGAGTTTGCCAAAAATAGTCACAAGCTTACTCGGGTGGGACTCGAACCCACGACCTCCTGCTTACTAGTGCAGACATCTTAAACACTCGACCACCGAGCTTGCCGGGGTCGGCTGTCCGGTCCGAGTCAGGTGAAGCCGAGTTGACAAATTCCAAAGGCTGATCCTGTTTTTTTTCCGAAATGATTGTCCTTGTCCTCCAGATGAGCCCCTGCTCCAGGATCTGATTGAGCGCCGGTGGCTGGACTGGTCCATCAAACAGCTAGAAATCATATCCATCATTGATGGCTGCAATATGAAACCCGGTGGAGTGGCCAGCTTTATAACCACGGTTGCCGTGGAGGGAAGTCACAGTGAGGTCACCGAGCAGGTGCAGAATCTGGAAGACTACACAGTGCAGATGGCTCACATGACTGATAGCTTACTAAGGTAAGCATAAGATAGGATTTCAATATGAAAGTGGTCTCACAGAATTGTTCATTCAACTTTAAGAAATCTTGCCTGCTCAACAAGTTGAGGTGCAGTACAACCCGTGAAATTTTGACAAATCTGTATTTTAGGATGTAGGTTTGCGGGTACACCATGTAATAATCTCTTTTGGGAAGAGGTGTGGTTCTTTTGGGAAGAGGTGTGGTTTTGGGAAGAGGTGTGGTTCTTTTGGGAAGAGGTGTGGTTTTGGGAAGAGGTGTGGTTCTTTTGGGAAGAGGTGTGGTTTTTGGGAAGAGGTGGGTGTTGTGCACCCTCAGCAAGCCACGAAGCCACATCACCCTCCACCGACTCCAGACAACCTTTATTACACGGCATCCACTCGATTCAGCAACACCTTCTCCTGAGGACAGCCATAGCATACTGGCCGAAATGTCGAGTTAAACACTCACCGGTTCTTCTCAGAACCACACCTCCCCATCTTCCCAAAAGAGAATATTACATGGTGTACCTGCAAACCTACATCCTATGTACTTCCACCATGCAAAGCTTCAAATCTTACAAATCTGTATTTTGACAAATAGTCTGTTACTATGTTTCTTTAACCCTCACAAGAAACATGGGAGACCCAACAGCACACATTTAGTTCCTTGGATTTCCATCAATATGACACAGCCTAAGTGAAATGATTTGCAAGTTGCCAGAGCCTATTTTGAGTTAAAAGCCTTGAAAAGATTGTCGACAGTATCAGTGTGAAAAATTTTCCCCTACATGATGCCCATTTTCATCAGAACAGTAAACCGAGTCAACACTTCAAAACAAAGATCTCTTGCAGTTTTTATTGCAAACTAATTATTGAAACAAAATTACCAAAAAATTCCCCCCCCCCCATGTCTCTGTCACTTTCTCAGGAGCTATGCCGACTCGACTTTACCCGACGGCCTACTTGAAGCCAGGAATTCCCTGGACAAACTCAGCAAGCTCCTCACTGAGGCTGCCTTCAGCTGCTCCCGAGCAGGCACCGAGGGGGTCTCGCCAGAGCAGCGGAACGGGAATCTGCAGAGGGTCGCACTGCTACAGAGAGAGTGGGCAGCAAAGGTAAAAGGTTCAGAGGATGGATGATGGGGCCAAGATTTCTTCTATTTCCAAGTTACTCCTCTGAAGTGGAGAGTGTCTCGTAGTGTTGTTAGGGTTTGTAACCTTAGATCAAAGGGTCAGGGGTTTGTCTGCACTTGTTGGCTATATGCTGTGTCCTTGGGCAGGCCACTTTACCCCTATTTGCCCCTCCCAATTTAGTAGTAGAAATAGGTACTAGCAATAAGGCCGGTTCATACTTCAGCTTTGTGCTGGGCAAATTTGACATCACGAATAACTTGCTGCAAAATTCACTCAAGCTGAAATGCACCCCCCCTAAGCAACTTTGTCAGTACGATTATTTGATGTGACATCACAGAATTATGTTCATGTTTGCTTTTTCACCAATTATGAACTCAACTTTGCCCAGGGAGCAAATACAGGCATCGCTAGAGGCGGGTGCCAGACCCCCCATTGGTTAGTTTTGTCGGCAAAATCTTACTTTGTCGGCAAAATCTTACTTTGTCAGCAAAATAAAAACAAGTCATGTAGGTGTCGGGCTAGGAAATCGGCAAATTGGCAAATTTCATGTAGCCCCCTCTCATTGAAAATGGTCTAGCAAAGCCCTTAGGAGCAACCAGCAATGGACCAGAATCCTGTCCTGGCAGGAATAGAAATATTCTCAGCCATTTCCTGGGCTGCCCGGGCTCGGGGCCAAGTTTACTTTTTTGAGGTCACTTCAAGTTTTATGGATGTTATAATGCAACCAATGCTGCGGATGACTATGAAAATAAAGAGGAACTGGTAGGGAATAAAGAGATACAAGTATTCTTGTAATTGGTAGATTGTTAAGACTTGAAACAAAAACAAATCTGTAGGCACGAATACAGAATAGGGAAGCTAGATCTTACATTGCCAATGATTCCGCAGCTAGAAAGGGGTAAGTTTTGGTCACCGATCTTCATACTGTTACTTCTAAAACAAGACTACTTTAGCATCCATATTTATCATTTCGTGTGCATTACTTTTTGCACACTGTTCTTCACACAGGCTCATCTGCTTTCAACTCACATTGACCGCCTTGCTGGGGACATGGCCACGCCCCTGGACAGACTAAGTGGGGCAGCGCTGGCAGTCAGCCAAGCTTCAGGTTTGTTGAACGGCTTTTCTTTTCATAAGTTTCACTGGTAAGGGACCGAAATAACACAGTGTGTTCAACATAGATTTTTTTTCATCGATAGCTAAAGGATGTTGAAAAACAAACAAGGGCAATTATGGCTGATAACCTCTCGTCTATGATGCCACAGGTCCGTCAAGGCAGCAACTGCTGGAGGAGTTTCAGTCTCAGTCGGATGGCCTCAGTTTGGCCGTGTCGGGGGTCAGGCAAGCTTGTGCCCAGGCCCTGAAGCCCACCCAGGCTGGACCGCTGAAGTCTGGCGCGTTTGCGGCTTTGGACGCCCTGTGTCGGCTGACCCCGGCGGCCGTTATGCAAGCCAGGAGTATAGCAGGTGATTTTTTTTCTTGGTAGTTTTTTTCTTCTTTCTGTTGACTCAGGTTTGTGGTAAAAATATGAAGGTCAAGAAAACATCTTGTCAGGTGCCAGTTTTCAAATTGCAGCTTTGTCCCTATCTTTGGCTTCATCTCAGGCTCTCAGATCCCATTTTGAAACCTCAACTTGCTCTTACAAAGTGTCAGCCTCAATGAGTTAAATTGGTTTTTTGGGGGGTAGCAGATTTTTCATAGCTTGGGACTGTGTTCATGAACTTCAGAGTATGAAGAAAACACCCACATTCTACACCAAGGGTTTGAAAAAACCACCCACAGATATTCTCCTTGCTAATATCAGGAATGCATATGTCCCCCAAACAGGAGATGCCCAGGACTAGAGTAATATATTTAACTGCATTTCAGGAAGTTGGCCAAGATGCTGTGGTGTTTATTTGTGACCCATCCCTTATGATATGAGTGTGTTGTGGCAAAGTCAAGTTTTGAGTTAGCTGGCCTACAAATAACACAGACACAATGTAAGCTTCTTGTTCAGCATCCTGTGTAGACCTCTGGACATACGAAGGGAATTAATTTAGGTTTCTGCACAGTTGACACGTTCAGTGTACTTCCAGAATGAGTTAAGTTTTGTTCTGCAGTGTGACGAATGTTGAGTTTTGCTGGTTTGCAGATGGTCAGCTGGTGTCGAGGGAGGTCCGGGCAAACATCAAGAGGGAGTGGGCTTGTTATGCCAAGGCTGTCATAAACAGCTTACAGAACAATCCCGAAGTCAGGTCGTCTGTTGTCAAAGGTAAGTAAGTCTGGTCAAACTCGGCTTGAAGTCGTCACAGCTGCGCATACCTGAAAAGACTACAACATCAGTTGCCCGGATAATCAGACAACTTAAGAGTCCATACTTTGTACCAAGACATTTACTTTCGATTATTATTCGTCCCGTTCCTTGTGCCATATGTGCATGTGGCTTTCAACACATTGAGTACCAATTACGAGTACACTTGTTGTAACAGGTGTACCGGATTCTGCGTCTACGCGTGCACTCATAGGAAATGCAGGGCAGGAACTTCACGGAGGCATCAGAGGCAATTGCTTTGATACCCCCCAGTCTTTGCGTCAGTGCCAATTGAAATGTCCCCGTAGACAAGTTGATTTTTTAAGGCAAGTGCCCTTTGCCCTTTGCAAATGAGAAATTGCCTTGCCCCTTCCCGGTAATTTGAATATACTGAGATCACCAAGAACACAACAATTGCGCTGCTGACAGTGGCGAGAGCATACATACTGTAAAATGCTCATGTTTAAATAGACGCGTGAAAGGTACCTATTAAAAATGTGCGCATGGGTACAGCGCTTGGCAAATGGGATCATCCTGTGAAACGATGTGCGGCAGTCGACGTTTCAATGTGTATCAAAAGTAAAACTTGTGAATTTTCATGTGTGAATTACCTCATTTGTATACCCCAAATGGTTTCTTGACTTTGCTTGATAACAATGTCATTTTTCCTCAAAACCTTGAATACTAACACAACTTCTTCTCGTTCATGTTTATTTTGTTGAAAGTAATGAATTGTTCCAGGTATCGAAAGGAAGAAATGCACCAAATAACCATTGTGGATGGTGTAAAAGTCTGCTCCATCTTTATACTGTGTGGGCTTCCTCGTGTGTCCTGTTCATTTGGATGCTTTTCCCGTTGTTTCCCCACCCCCGTAGACGTGACCAGTGCACTGAAGTGCAACAGCAATCTCCCCGCGTCCAGCGTGCCCCTCTCTGGAGCGGCACACGATGAGTCAAGACCACTGGACACGTCTGGCCTGTCGCTTCACCAGCTGAGCCTCTTACACTCTCTACCCAGGCAAGGTAGGCAATCAGAGCATTGCCGGGAAATTTTTTTTCGTATCCGCATCCATCAAAATCCGCTCCCAGTGATTTGCGGATGCATTCAAGGGCTGTAGATCCCAGCTGGTGGTTAAGCAATGCTTGAATACTCGGCTATGGCTTGAAATGATGCACAACTCTATGAAATGGTTGCAGCCACAACCATAGACTCATGCATAATTTTAAGCCGCAGGTAAGCAATTTTGACACAGCCTCATCTAATGTTGTTTGTGGTGCATCAAAGAATAAGAGCAGTTCCTGGATTAGCGCACTGAGTCATATTTGATCGTACAATACCCAAATAAATCTCCGTCTTCTCATCGGTTGGTAGTCAGGTATTCAGTACATTCAATGGTAACCATTGAATGTATCCTATTGTATATACCCTTCATTTGCATGCCTTCATAACCTTCATTTGCATTCGTGTGCAGTAGGCACACTTGTGGCTCTTCACGCCCACAAAGGCTGTTGTACACAAGTATTGGTGTTAGTACCTCAAAGAGGCGAGTTGTCAGCCACTGGCATGTTGCGTGTGTATATCACCCTGCCGTTTGGCACTTTCTTTTTTCTTGTAATTGACTTGTTGAACTACTTCAAACGCAAAAATGGAGAAGCTTTGTGAGAAGGCATAATTCATGAACAAGAAAATCCCAATAACCAGCATATTGACCATGTCCAACGCACTGGAAATGAGCGAGAACACCGTTGAGTCCACGATGTCTGGTGTAGCATACCATGATGAGCTGTTATGCCAAGTTGGACTTCTTCCAACTTGTCCAAACATTCGAGTGTCAGATGCAGTGTGAAAATAATCTAGCGATTCTAGTTTCCCACTTGTTATTTACTTTGATGAAAATATAGAGATCGAATCATTATCGGGGGTGATAGATGTTACATAGATAGGATATGGTGCTTCCATGCCACTCTTGCTTACTTGTTATGCTGATCATGTATCAAACATCCATCTTGTGCCATGCCTTTCTCAAATGCAGACATTCTTGTGGGCGATCATACATTTACCAGAACGATATCTGGGTTCAGTTGGTTGTGCTTGCTGTGGCTGATCTAGCACTGACAGAAAAACGAGGCACCCAGCATTTATGGGGGGGGGAGCTGTCTGGAGTAGAGGTGCAATCTGAACACACAAGGGGAACATTTTTTTTCTTCTCATATCGGTGAAAATATCTGTTGTTAGAGCGTAAGCAATCATTTGAGAGCAGGAGAAACCGGTCTAATGAACAGGCGTTTCCTTGAGAAAAATAAATTTGGAAATGGTGGGGTGCATATAAGGTACACCCCAGTTTGGATTTGGTAATGGACTGGCTTGTAATGAGACTTGTTGGCTTACAGGGAGGACATGAACCCAGTATGGAAGTTTTGAGGTTATATCATGGAAGCTAACCTCATGTGCGAGTTGTGTGGTTGTGAGTCCTTTGGTTCTGACAACTGGTTCCTCTCAGAACCACCAACTCATGAAAGAGATGAGTTTCCACGGTGCAGTGGCAAACCATCCATTCTTTGGCTTAGCTTTCGTCCACTTTTTCCCACTCGCTTCACCCAGGCATCACATCTGCATTCGCACCCCGCAACCACTCCACCCCATCTGATCATTCCGCCCATCTACCTCAGCGCCCGCCCGCTACCCCTACTCACCTGCCCCCGTGGCAGGCCGCACTGCGCGCCTCATCCTCGGGTCGTGCTTCCGCCTCCCCAGGGGGACGGGATTATGTCCATGCTGGGATGAAGACATCGCCAGAGAAAGGCCACTCTCCCTTGAAGGAGGTAGATCCGAAAAGGTGAGAAAGTCTGGCAAAAGATATGCCTCATTAGAGGAACAAATAAACAAGAAAAAAACAGTCCCAGAAGTTTATTATATATGTTGGTACTGAAAAGACCTTTAGGAATACCATGGTTTTATTAGGATGTATTTGGTGCAAGGATACTTTACCCCTAGGGGTGTAACTATGTACTGTGAGTACATCTTGAACTTATTAGTTATTGAGGTCATGTTAGCAGTATTTGTGTTTATTGTCCAAATAACCTCGCGCCAGCCGTGTATTATGCTTGTTCAACTCTCTTGCTGGCTTCAAATTTTGTCAAGTAGTGCTGTATTCAAGTCCATCACAAGTCCCTGTAAGTCCATTACAAGTCATTTAGTCTCAAGCCAGTTTACAAGTATTCAAATGAGCTGTGGCAACAGCATTCTTTTGTCATTGTTCACCCTGTTACTTATGACTGGCCTTTTTAAGGGACTTGTGACTGGCCTTGTGAAGGGACTTGTGACTGGCCTT